CACTTAGAAAATGTTCCCTGATTATGAAACTTTGGCTGAATAGTGCTTGTTCCTGTCTCCAATGTGGCGACACATCCAGGAGCCTGTCTGAGGAGAATCCCAGAATCTCACATCCTCTTCAGCTCAGAAAGCGCCTATGATTACGCACAAGCGTGACGCGCCAACCCGGTCTCACAGTAAGACCGGGTTGGAACTGTTCAGGTTTACGCAGGCAATCTTTATATTTAGAATTGGCATACAGATGTAAAATTAATGCAGTAAAATATAAAGCATTTTATTTAAATATCCATTCATTATTTTACAAACAGAGAGCCGCATCAGATGGATGGAAGAGCCGCATGCGGCTCCAGAGCCGCGGGGTGCCGACCCCTGTGCTAGCCTACTTTATTGTCCCCAGCAATTTTTAAACCCCACCCAAGTGTATGGTTATTGTCCCCAGCAATTCTGAAAACAAACTGACGCCCTTGGTTGGAACCACCATCCAATTCGTACCGAGAGAAACAGAAGTCCAACACAGATTTGGGGGATTGGCCAGTTGATTACCAGCAATGTCCAAAATGAACATCTTGAGGTGATTTTTTTTTTTTGCTTGACGTTTTCCTCTAACTAGGTAAGTAGTAGAGACCAGACAATCTTTTTTTATATATTTTCTTGATAAAGATAAAGGCACTTTAAGGAATTTTAACAGCCAATACGTGCATAGAAGTATTACATATGTTCCTCATACATTGTTGATGTCAATTACATTTTATCTGGTAAAGGTCCCCCCAAAAACAAAAATACTACATCTGACTCCTATGTATCTACATTTTTGTAGAGTATGTAGGACACACTGCTACATGTTATTTAATAAACTATAAATGGACAAAAGATGCAGAGGTTGCACTTACGGTGCAGTGTTCAATGTTACCAGATATTAGACATTTATCAAAACAGGGAAACATCTGCAATTTTTTCTGACAAAAGTCCATGAATGACATTTAGTAAAATCCAAATATCTTCTAAAGCTAAATCTCAATTAATTTATGTGGATGAATGTATGTCAACATTAATAAAAATATATAAGCCTTATGCTTACACCTGAGCCCTCAGTTCTAAAAACCAGAACCTTCTAGAATTTCCCAATGCCAGATATAGAAGTTCACGCAGGTGATCAGTATTTACAAGCTATTTCCCTCCGGCTTTGAAATTAACTTGCTTTTTCTTTGTGTTTACCAGCATGCTCGCATACCTTTAAAATGCAGCTGAAGACCCTTTCATTTAAAGCTGCTTTAACATACCTAATTTTTTAATATTCTTTCAAGATACATTTATAATCTGTCATTGGTTTTAGACTTGTCATGACAGTTTGATGATTTTAATGTATTTAATTGAATAGGTTTGGATGATCATTATGACTTTACAACTTATTTTTTTCACTTTTTTTCCGTTATGTTTTGTACATGTACATACATAACATGTACTTACGGAAAAGTATTTTTACTGTTCTTAAATTTACAGGACCTTGACGAACCGGAAATTGACTGGGAGACTGCAGTTGATTACAATGGCCTTGACCCTGAAACTGGCGTTGTAGTTCCTGAATATGACAGCCCTTTTACAGAAGAAGAAATTAATCACCTACAGACTGTGGTAGATCCAACCAACACAAATGTTACAGATGAACAGCTGTATCTTACCTGCCATGAACATATGAGACAACTGCGCTCACACTCTTAGTAATGATGCTGGTGCTGGGTTAGTAAAATGACTTTTACACATGTAATTCCCAGCATTGTTGGCTTTTTGCAGTCCTACTTTTAAATTTTACTACATAAATCATTATATTTGGTTAACATGTTTAACAGCAAACATTTGCTTAATGATTGTGACATACAACATTGTCTGAAACAAAACATTGTTTTTTACTGTACAGCTTCCTGTATCATACAATGTACAGATAAAGTACATAACAATCCCTCATGTGTGAATAATTTGTGAAACTCAACATTTATGGTAAAAACTGAACATTTATGTAACTAAAAATGAAAAAACTGCATGCAGAAAACATGAACTAGTATAATTAGGTAACACACATTTTTGATTCTTTGCTGTGCTGTATTCAGTTCTTAGTGTCGTCCAAATTCATTTCCATGGATAATAGCCTGTGAAATGACAGTTTTGAATTCCAAGTATGTGGTTAAATGTGACACTGGGAATGTGATAGAACAAGAACATGCATTAACCACAGGGTAGCAAATGCTATGTTTTCCAAAACGTGCACTGCAGTCGTGGTCAAATTCCATGACTATTTTGAATGTCCCACGCTCAGTAGGACTCAATGGGATGTGACGCTGTCCAGTCAGCCACTGGCAAAATTTGCCAACATTAAGCCACTGACTGTTGAAGTTCCCTTCTGTTCTCTCCGGGTTTGCATCCATTTTGAACTCTTCAGACTGCTCACCTCCTGTTGTGTCTTCTGAAAAAATTAAATAATCAACAACATTGCTCTATTTCTCAGACAAACTTAGAAATGTATGACAGTGTTAATCTGGATACATTACTTACCCTGATCATCCATGTCCTGAACAAAGTCCTGAAGAAAGTTGACTATTCTGTTCTCCCTTTGACGCTTCATTGTTCCACTTTCACTGAAGACGGGTGACAGTGACTGGACTAGAAAGTCAGCATCCACCTTAATTATGCAAACAATAGTAAAATTAAAATGTATTCTGTTGGTATTATAAATCTATAGTACATTACATTTATTTATTATTTAACCTTTATGTAAACAGGAAAACACAGTTTAAGAACAGACTTCTTATTTACAACTGAGGCCTGGCAAAAGACAGTGCCTTATGAGTGGCAAAAAAGACGGTATCATGTAATAGTTTTAAATTGCATTAATAAGAAAAAATAAGTGCACCACATCAACTCTATTAGATATAAGATCTAAATAAATATAAGTCAGTGTAAGTGACAACAGCAGGTTCCTTGAAAATGCTCCGTGATCACAGTTCTGAAAGCTGCCTTTGAGATAAACAAGACCATTTTTTGGGTTTATTGTAGGTCGTTCCAGTCTCTAGCAGCTGCAGTCTGAATGGACAATGAGCCAAATGCATAAGCTGTTTTAGGAACTGTCAAAATAAGGTTTGCAGATAGAGTATTGTAAGCCGGAGATTAAAAATGTTGCAAATAAGGAGGAGACAAACCAAGGACAGTTTTTAACCCTCCCACTGTCCTAATAGATGTGACCCAGCAAGGAAAGTTGACCATTGAGTAGGGCTGATGGTTTATACGTTGAGGTCCATGTGGCAAGGGGGACAAGTGAGCACCACATCACCTTTGCCACATGGACCTGAAGGGATAAACCAACCCTGGTCAATGGTCAACTTTCCTCAAGGGGCCACATCCATTAGGACAGTGGGAGGGTAAAATGAACATGAAACAGTGTATTTAGCAACATGTGTACAATGATGACCAGTTAAGATAATACAGAATACAGTATTGAGTTTTACAAAGAGCGTCTGTAACAAACCGTTGGGCAGTGTGGTAAAGAACATCGAGCTTAAAGAGCAAGTAATGCCTAAATTAACTTGTTTTGCTGAAAACCTGTATACATGAGGGTCTAATGGTGCTGTACACATGTGTAATCATTAGTGTGACACTTAAATATAACTTATTCTAAATGTAATATTTAATCCCAAAACCATAATTATATCTCAATCTTTTGGTTAAA